CCAGGAACATGCTCAGAAAGGAAACTTGTTTCTCGCAGCAGGGACACAGGGGGAGAGGTGGAGCCAAGAGGCCTCCCTGGGCCCTGCGGCTTGTACCAGGGTCAGCACAGGGGCCCGAGTCTTTCTGCCATTCCCACCTCCAGGGACCCTGAGGGATACATATCCTCACCCCACAACCATCCTGACCAGGAGTGACTGCTTCATTCCAACCCTGTACACCCCAACAGCAAGGAGTCCTGGTCTGGATTTTCCAAGTCATTTTATTAACCCAACCGTACAAAACTTTCCCCACCACGTCTCTGCCACCCCCGCTTCCTTCCAAAAAGCAGTAGACTGAGAGGGAGAGAGGGACTGAGCTGACACGCCCACCCCCCCGCAAGAGCCATCTTACCAAATGCAGAGATGGGGGAGACCACAAAAATAGCAACCGATAAAAGAGGGGCAAACAGAACCACAAACACAACACAAAGCTCAGCAGTGGGGGGGGGGGGGCTGCCACCTCTGCTGTTCCACGGCAGGGAACACTGGAGAGAGGCCCAGAGGCCTCTCCCTTCTTTCTCACAGCCTCAGAGGCTGCATGCTGCACCTGGGCAGGCAAGAGTTCTGCAGTATACCTTTGTCTTCTCTTCACACCCTAGCGTCCTGGGAGAAGTGGGGGCAGGGGAACACCAGCTCCTCTCAGGGCCACACCCCAAGCCTGCCTTCCCCACCCCACTGAGGAATGTGTGCAGGAGCTGTAAGGAAGAGACAGCAGCTGTGAGGGGCTCCTGCTCAGGCCGCTGGCCCATCTCTGGCAGGCAGCGCTTACAAAATAAAATAAAAACAAAGCCCAGTGCAGGACCCTGGCTGAGAGGAATGAGAACAGCTAGATCACCAGGCCGGAGAAGATATAAAGAATAGCAGGGAAAGAGAGAAACAAAAAACATCCAGGCTCTGGATTGCATTTTAGTACCATGGCAATAAGGGTCCTGCCACCTCCCCACCCACAGGCAGGGACAGGGATCCTTTCATCAGGAGAAAAAATGAGGTATAAGGGCTCTGCGCCTCTTCAAGCCTTCCTTCAATCAAGCCAGGGAAGCAGGGAAGTAAGGGCGCCAAAAGTTGAAGACCAGGGCTGCGAATAATGTGGAACAGATGGGGGGGCGTATACAGCCAGAGTCCAGCCTTCCAGGACAGTCCAAACATCAAATATTCTGCTCTGTCAGACCACATATCCCAATTTTTAGCAAAAATATTGTCATTAGGGAAAAAGCACAAGAGAGTCTGAGAAAGGACCAGTGACTTTGGTATGAGGAAGATATGTCCTGACAGCATCTCTTACCTACTGTCTTGAAGCCCCAAATCACCAAGAAACTGCCATAGCCACGTACTCTCCTGCTTCTTCAAGCTATTTGGTTCTCTGAGGGGGGAGGAGTTGAGTAGGTCTTGGAGGAGGCAAGGGGAAGGTAAGAAAAGGGGAAAATCTCCATTTATTCTCTAAAGCTGTTTCCCAGCACCCATGAAAGGGCTACTGCAGAGATGGGAAGAGACCCCCAACTCCTCTGGCCAGAAACCTTTAATACTGGACTCCAAAACCTAAGGCTGGGGGGCTAGATAGGAGTGTTAGGCACAGGTGTTGGGGGTATCCATCATCTGTAAAGGGGACACCCCTGCCCTTCAGATCTTCCTCCAGCCTCTTTTCTCTTGCAGCCACACCCCTAGGCCTCCAGAGACAGCCACCAAAACTGGCTCTGCTTGGCAGGGCTTTGGTTTCCTGGACCTCTGTAGATCTCAACACGTAAGTTTCCAGAAAAGTGAGCAATCCAGGCTCTTCTGCCTGCCCATCTCAGTTCCTTTTCTGCCCCCAGGAGACATTGTGTTTCTGCCCCATGGGGATGGGAAGCCAGTGGAAACAAGGACCAAGAGCCAGACAGGAAAACAACCACCCTGGAAGAGCAGGGAGGAACGTATGCACTTCCTGGGCACCTCGCCAGCATCACCCATCGTTAGCAGCCACCAGCTGCCCCATGCCCTCGCGGATGTAGACAGACTGGATCTCCTTGGTCTTGAGGCAGAGATCGCAGGCCCAGACAGCAGAGGCCTCAGTGGTCAGCAACCCATAGGCGCTCTCAGTCATGCCCGTGCACTCGCGGTGGAACCACTTCTGGCAGGAAGCCTCACACAGAATGGCATCTTGGTCGTCGTTCACCTCACTCCGACAGGCACCACATGGATACACCAGGCCTGGGGGAGGCTGGGGCCCTGAGCCCGCACTTGTCTTGCCAGGGGGTGCCAGGCTATTGGCATCTGGGGTGCCCCCACCCCGCCCACTGCTGTTTGGGGGAAAACTGGGCTGATTTCCATTAACAGCAGCAGCCGGGGAGCCTGAGTGGGGCTCCTGGGGAAAAGCAGTGGGAGCAGGTGGATTTAAGGGCTTCCCCCCATCCTCACCACCAGGGCCAGGAAAGCCAGGGTCCGGACCAGGGAAGGGACTTGTGTTGGGGGGCAAGCTGGGGAGGCCCTGACCAGGTCTCTGGAGAGGAGAAGGACCAAAAGATGCCCCTGGCTGGGCAAAGCGTTGAGGGAGAGAAGGGGGGCCCAGCTCCCCTCTGGGAGGCTGTCCCATGGTGGGTGAGATCATGGGCCCAAATCCCCCCACGGGGCCTGGCATCATCTGCCCACCAGGCGGGCTGAAGTTCTGACCCAGAGGCTGGTTGAAGGGTTGGCTGGGAAAGTTCATGTTGCCTGGGGGAGGGTAGCCAGGGCCCTGTGGGGGCATGTTGAAAGCAGGGCCCATGGGGTTGGGAGGGAAAGGGGGGGGGCTGTCGACGAAGAGGCTGGGGGCCTCCTCCACCCCCAGGGCCATAGCCTGGGGGTACCTGGCCTGCCATGCCCCCCTGTACACGGAAGCCCCCAAAGGGGACAGGACTGCCCAGGAATGCAGGGGCTGCGCCCCCCACCTTAGGGGCTCCGAAGTCATCCTCAAAAGGGTTGGATGCGACCAGGTGATCGACCATGGGAGTCGGGGGTGGCGCAAACTCCGTCAGATGTGAGTATGCAGGGCCCTGGGGGAAAACAGGAGGGAAAGAGGGTCATGGAGGGAGACGGAGAGCTAAACCAAGAGAGCATCAGAAACACAATACACATTTTTGGAGGCTGGTACTGGCCAGCTCAGATCTTAAATCAAGATGGACCTTAGAATGCAACAAAGAAACTGAGAGTGGAGAGCAGAACCAGCATAGTGCAGTAACTGTGTTTTGAAAACAGGCAGAACTACGCTGGAATCCTAGCTCTGACACTGAGTAACTTCAAGGCCCTGGTGCAGGCATTTAACTGTTTTAAGCCGCAGATTCCTCATCTGTAAAATAGTGACAATGCCCATCTCCCCAAACTGCTAGTTTTAGCACAATCCCTGACACTTAGAAAAGGTTCAGTAAGTGGTAGCTGTTAACATCATGTGGGAAACACGACAGCACAAACGGAGGAGAGAATGTTTCTAATCCTGACTGATAAGACCTTTGGTCAAACCATCTCATCCCCACCCCTACCCCTAAAATCTGTTATGAAGTTGAAGGAAAGGACCAGAAACAGAACAAGAAAGACAACTTTCTCTTCTCCCCGCGGCTTATGCAAAGTAGAGACATTGGAGGGGCAGAGCAGAGCACCCAAAGGGGCTACTAGGAATTACCCCCGCCACCAACCATTCACCTGAGTATTTGACTTCCTTCGCTTCTTTTCTGGGCTCTTCATTTGCAGACCTGGAAAAGTAGTAAAACGCAGACACAAGTTTCCCTGAAGTTTCCCCAACCTCCTCTCTCGCAGCCATGATATAAGGAACTCTTCTAACTTCATTATACTCTATTTACTTCACAGGTACTAACAATGGTACACTTTGAAAAATGAATTGGACGCTACGCTCTCAGCTGCCTCTTCCTTCAAATGAGACGCCCCATCTCTTGATACCTTTAGACTCCCAAGTGGCTCCTGAACTCCAGGTGCCCCAAACTCTAGGATCCGCAATCTGTGAACCCCTGCCCGCAACCCCTGGAGGGCTTCACCCACCCATCCTTTTCACCTGAGCCTCCCCGCCCTTCAGAGCCCTCTGCCAGAGGACCACCACCTCCCCCGCCCGCCAGCCCTCCCTCCGAGCTCCCCGACTTCTCGGCCTCGCCAGCCCCAGGCCCCCTCAGCGCTCTCACCGGCCTTGCCCTGCTTCCTCCCGGTGCTGGGTGGCGCAGGGGGCGGTGCGGGGCCGCCACCTCCCTCCAGCTTGTCCGGTGGGGGCGGCGCCGAGGCGGCCATGGAGTGGGGGACCGGGGTCAGCGGCGGCGGGGGACGGACGCGCCCTGGGGTTGCACCATGGCCCGGAAGGGGAGGCTGGGGCGGCGCAGGCCCCCGCGCGGCACCAAGCCGGAGGTGCGGCGAGGCGGGGTCGGCGAGCCCGGGGGCCAACTGCACTCTCGCCCAGCCTTACCGCCCGCCCGCGGCCGCAGCCACAGGAACCGGAACTCGGCGTGGCAGCCACCACTGCGCACGGCAAGGAGGGGGAGCGAGGCCCGGGTCACACCCTCCCCCGAGCGCCGGGCGGGCAGGGCGGTACCAAGGCACGACCCTGGGGCGGGGGGCCGTCCCAAGCCCCGGAGCGCCGCGTGCCCGCTTACTAGGGCAGACGGCGGCCGTGGGCTCTGCGGCTGGGCCGTACCATCCCCCGCCGAGGGGCCGCCGCAGAGGTGCGCGAGGGCGTGAGCGCGCGCCTGGGAAGCCCGAGCCGCCTGGGGTTCGGCCGGCCGCGATCCCACCCCGCCGCCGCAGCCCCAGTTGCAGACACGAACATCTCCTTGGATGATGGCCCCGCCCTCCCCACCCCGCCGCGCCCTCCCGGCGCCCCTCCTCCACGAGGAGGCGCGACCCGAGCGAGGCCAGGTGGGCCGGGCCGCACCGCGCCCCGAGGCGGCCTCGGCCTCCCGCCGCGGGGGGCCCACAGCCAACAATAGGCAGCGACAGGGACCAGGAAACCGAGGTAGAAGAAATATGGACTTTAATGAAGATTCTTTCCCTTTGGTATAAGTGAGACCCGTGAAAACATCCAAACAAAAAGAAAAGAAAAAAAAGGGAGGTGAGGATTTAGATAGTCCACGCTCCCTTATCCACAAGGCCTAATGACAGAGCAGGGCCGGCTCCTCTGTCGTTGCGGCAGGACCCGGCCTGGAGAAGGGATTCAATAACTGCAGGTTTTAAGTGTCCCCAAGCCCCCGCCCCCGCCCGCCCCGTGTGAAACTAACAGCCATTCAGCCAAACTTCTGCCTCCCAGCCTCGCGGTGGGAGGTCCAAGTTTCTCTAGTCCTAGCTCACACTCGGCCTCTGGTCTCTCAGAAAAGATAACGCTACCGGCAAAGGCCAGGGTGAGGAAAATGCCAATAGTTGTAAAAGGGCTTTGAAAAGTCAAAAAGGTGATGTATAAATCGATTATTATCATTTTGTGCTCAGGAATAAGCTATGGAAAACAAATTAGTAAAGTAAATCTACAGCCCTAAAATATATGCATATAAAATAAAAAACGCAGTTCCAAATCTACCGATGGTATCTGGGGATTGTCTACTGCTTTAGAGTCTCAGTGCCCCTGTTCCCACCTCCACAAAATCCACCTAGGATGACACTTCAGTCATCCCCCCACCACCCCAGCAGGGGGAGGCAGGGCAGAGGCTACAGGAGGAAGGGCTGTACTTTGGCTCTAGAGTATAACATGCATGCAACATGGGGGGGGGGGGATGGACTTGCCAAATGTATATATAGACCCCCTGGGGTGAGGGGCCCCACCCAAGAGGCACTGAGCAAGAGGCAGGTCCATCTCCCCACTGGCTGGGAGGGGGCTCTGAGGCAATCTCTAAGGGCTGCATATCCCGGTGGAGAGGGGACAGCTGCCACTCCTGCCTCTGTTCACCCAACCTAAAGGGGAGGGGGTACTGAGCAAGGAGAGGACGGGGTCCCAGAAGCCAAGGTGTCAGCACCCCCATGCTTGACTTCAGGGGCCCAAGAACTCTTTGCATAAAATAGCTTCAGACCTAGCAGATGGTCAAAGGCACAAAGTTTAAACGCTGGGAGGGAGGGCTGTTGAGAGGGGTCTGGGGTACCCTGAGCCCAGGGGTGGACTAAGGGTGTGATTCATTCCCCTTCCCTGGAAGGGTGATTGCTCCACTGGGCCTATCACCACAGGACATTTTCCATTACAAGGAGGCATACTGCCCAGGCCTCCAGCACCCACCTTGGGGAAGGGGGTATCAAGTTGGCACAGGAAAGGCCCAGGGAAGGGGGCCACTCTGTACATTAATACTTTGGTGAGGTTTGGGGAGAAGCAGGACTCTACCCCTGGCTCCTGACTCAAACCCTCTCACTCAGCTGGACGCTGAACCCAATGTCCACACTACCCCCATCCCTACACAAGGCCAAGCCCACAGAACACTCCCAGGTGAGGTCCTGAGAATTGGGCAATAGGGTGGAAGGGGTCGCAGGGCATCTTCTAGGAGAGAGCACTGGGACAGATCACAGCTTCCGCTCCACAGGTTGCTGGAGACACAGTTCGCTGCCCGCAGAGATGATGGGCAAGTGATTGTCCATGTGGTAGCTGATGAGGTGACTGACACTCTCAAAGCGGTGATCCTTTGTCCGAACCTGCGAAGTGGGAAGGGAGAAGGTCAATTCAGGTGAAGAGTCAAATAAGACCTCAGTCCCCAAAGCTGAGGAAGCTGGAATGTTCAAGAGGGTCGAGGCAGGAGAAAAAGATGGCAGAAGCGGGAAGGCCGTCAGTCCTGATCATTGAGGCTTCTCTAGAAAGAGAAGCTGGAGGTAGCCGTGGGAATGGGCAGGTCAGTGAACTGGGAAAAGGCAGAGGGGACATCAGCCCAGAAATCATGAAGCTGAGGGATAGCTACTCCTCCCCTGACCTGGAAGAAGGTGGTATGTCTCAGAAGAGGATACACAGTACAAAAAAGACATGCAAAGGAGGCTGAGGTTGCTGTAGAAAAGAGACCAAAGTTATGAGGGGCAGAGGGACAGTGCAGACAGGAGACAGAGCACCGGTCTGAGCCCTGAGTCTGGAGAAGCTGGGGAGGCCCCTGGCTCCTCTTGAGAGAGGAGATTTGGGGTGCCTAGCCTCTAACCATCTGACATTGAGCATCACAACCTCTAAGGATGGTTTTCTCATTTGTCAAAAGAGGGACTCAGGTGACATGTGCACCTTCCAGCACTCGTGGGCATAAAGTTTGGGGATTGGCCGGGACTGAAGGGAAAACAGCTCAAGTTCAGGGATGTAAGAAGGGAAGGAACCCTAAGCCACTAGAGGGGGAATGCCAGGCACCTTGAGAGCAGGGGAGGCTCAGGTAGAGGTGCCCAGCAGGTGAAGTCTAGGAAGCAGTGAGGCAGGAACAGGGCTGCACAGGAGGGTACTGCATCTTCCTTTCTGCCTCACCCACCCATACCCCTGCGATACTCACCACACCCTCAGGGTCCACCAGTAGCAGGTGCTTGGGCTGCCCACTCTGCAGGCCAGTGAGCACATACTGGCCAGGCGTGGTCGTGCTTTCCCGCACCAGGAAGTCCCCGTTGAGCTGTAGCAGTGCCTCGGCCTCCCGCCGGCTCAGCTTCCCGTGAAACCAGGGCTCCCCTCGGAGCTGCTCAGCCATGGCCACCAACTGGGGAGGTGGAGGCACCCGCAGGGCATCTTCAAAGGGCTCTGGGGGTACAGAGAGAGGGCTAGAAGAGGCAGCTGGCACAACACATGCTCAAGAGCCAGACCCTCAGGGAGGGGAGGCCAGGAAGAAAAGAGGAGGAACCAAGTGGGAAGACGCAGATGCAGGAAGGAAAGGGGCACACTCACTCATGTCAAAGAGGTCTCGGGGCGTGCTGCCATTGATGGCAGGATTGGGGGGCCCGGCCCCACCGCCTGCTTGCCGTGCCTTGTCTAGGTTCTGGACATTGACATAGGAGGGATCATCAAAGAGCTCTCTGCCTGCTGAGGAAAGGGAGGCTTTACAGTGATCCCCGCCCTGCTTCTCACACCCCACTCTGCCCCTCTCAGCTCCCTTCATACCTGGGCAGGGTGGCGGGGGCAGCATCTGTTTGCGGGCTTCTGGGTCTCCTCCAACAGGCTGCCCCACTGGCTGAAGGGACAAAAATAGGGTGAGACCAGAGGCCCTAACCAGACGCTGCCATCCTGGGCCTAGCCCACCTTCATGCAAGCAACTTACCAGCGTGGCTCCCAGGTGGCTAGGGGTCTGGGCACTGGGTGGAGTGGGTCGAGCAGCCCCCTGGGGGACTCCTTCCCGAAGTCTCATGTCCACCACCCCCCCAAGAGGGGGTTCCTTCCCAGGGAAGTCATTATAGTACTGATGGTCAGGTGGCTCTTCTTCCTCCTCATCCCAAGCTGAGCCATCAAAGCCAGCCATCCTGGGAGGGACAGGAGGAAGAGAAGAGCATGGGGAAGAGGATGGAGAACAGACAGAACAGCAGTCACATACTGGGCATTCCCTGAGGGGTAGGCCTGAGGCTGGGTGTTTCATATATATAATCATTTCATCCTCCTGGCAACCCTATAAGGTAGGTATTATTTCCTTCTTCAATTTTATAGATGAGGAAAATGAGGGTCAGGGGTAAAAGGATTTAGGTCTCACAACTAAAAGGTGGTGGAGCTGAGATGTGAATTCAGATTTGTCTTTAAAGTCATGCCCTTGATCATTAAGCTGTCTCCCAAGAGGGAGGGGGAGCAGTAAGTACCGGGGAGGGGGGTGCTCCAGAATCATTTAACCTCCTCTAAATACTCAATACTACTGGTCTGAGGTGGGAAAGGTAAGGATCTCAGGAAAGAGCCATCCTCCCTCACCCAAATTCTTGACGGCTTCTAGAGGCAAGAAAATGAAGAACTAAACTAAATATGGAGAAATGCACAAAAGGACAGACCAGCAATGAGATGGCTTGGAAAAGAAAAGCCCATCTAGCCAGGGAAGAGCTGCAGCGTGGACGTCCTGGACTACAGCTCCACCACGGGCACACGACAGGAAGAGGTGGCCCTGCAGCAGGCAGGGCCTCGAAAGACCTTCCTGATGGCCACAGGAAACTTAAGAATAGCAGGAAGTGGGAAGCAGGGGCGCACAGGTTATTTCCTTCCCTGCACCTCTCTGAGCTCAAGTGTGGGAAGAGCAGACCTACTTTTCCAATTCCGGTCTGGGGCCCAAGAGCTGGCCGCCCCCCAACCCTGGCCCACTCACCTGTCATGGGGGGTGACCAGCTTGGGCGGGTTCCTGAGGTATTGTTTGAAACGCAACTCGAAGGCCTGGCCAATGGTGCTGATGACGTCCTGAGCAAGCCCTTCGGGACACTCCAGGATGTGGCAGGCTGGGGACACAGCAGAGGCCGTCAGGGAGCTCGGGGGCAGCGTGGCCAGGAGGAGGCGCAGACAGAGGCCCTTGTCGTCTGTCCTCCACAGCCAGGAGCCGCCGGGTCCTGCTCACCTACCTCTCGGACAGCTGGCCCCACCCAGTGTTCCCCACCACGCCTCACCTCTCTGATTCACCGGGTCTTTGGCAACATAGGCGACATACTCGGCTGTGTCCTGGGGTAGACAGAGTCAGAAGAGGCCAGTTAGCTAAACTTCATAGCCCCACCTCACTCCTGACCCCTCAAACCCAGTCCTCTTCAGATATCACCTCAATCCTAGCACGCTCTATTCTCTAGCCAGTGTCTTCCCAACCCCTAGCCCCATACTCTTCTCCCACCACCCGTGCTCCATTCCCCAACTCACCGGGTCCCCGCCAGACGCAAACGAGATGGATTGCATGTGGTGGTTGGCGATGATCTGAGGGTTAGGGCAGGGGATGGAGAAGGAAGGGAATGACGTGTGTCAGGCAGCCTCAGGGCCCACTGGGCGCCCCCCACAATTGGCCCAGGACCCTGGGGTCCCAGTCTCATCCTTTTGGCTTCTCAACCCATGTCCTCCTAATCTCCTCCTTCCCTACCATCCTGATGCTCCCAAGCCTTCCCTCCGAGTTTCTTGCCCTCATAACCGGGTCCTCACTTAGCCCTCCCATCAATGTTTCTGGTCCTGCCGCCCTAGTCCACCAACCTGTTTGCAGTCTGCGGCCATGAGGTTGAGGCTGCTGGTGGAGACGGTGAGAGTGATTGGCATTCCAGCAAATTTCAGGTTACTCCTCCCCAGGATGGAGCTGAGTGGACGGCTACAGGGCTAGGGAAGGGCCCGAGGATCTCAGAAGCTGGGGGCTCCCCGCACACTCCTGCCTCCTGGCCTCCTCCCCGCACGCCCCACACCAGCCTTCTCCCTGCTCCTCCACCTCTCCCGGCAGCGCCCCTAGCCCCATCGACCCCAGCTACCTTTCTCCTCCTTGTTGCCCCCTTAGCACCCGGCACAGCGTCACACACCAGACTGATGGCCTCCCTGGGGAAAGAGGGGTACTCAGACCCACGGCCTGCCTCCCACCCGGCTGGAGCTGCCACAGGGCTGGGGGAGGGGAAGGCCAGGCCAGACTCCAGGGGCACTCCAGGCTCTTTGTCGTGGCGGATTGAATTAAGGGCCTTTAATATTTGATGACACTGAGAGGCCGCTTCCTGGCTGATTGGGTTAGAGCCTCAGTGGGTCTGGGCCCACCCCCTTCCAGCTACCAAATGTCCCATCCCCTTCCCAAAGGCAGCAGCAACCTTCCATCTACCCCCATTTTCCACTCAGACTCCAGCTGCCAGCTGCCTCTGCCACCTCCCTCACAACCCCCCAGGCTGCATAAGCAAGAAGGAGCCAGGTCAGAGTTGCCTCTCTTCACTGAGACTTCAACTCCCTTCCCTAACTTTCTCTCAATCCCCTTCACCACCCAAAGATGAGCCATCACTAGTGCCACTGCCAAGTGACCCACTCCCCCCTCCCCTCACAAATCCCAGGACCCCCACACTCCGCCCCCCGCCCCACCAACCTGGTGACCTGAGTCCGGGTGTTGAAGTCCAGGGCGCGCATTGACTGCAGGACCTCCACACAGCCCATGTACTGAGGGGAGGGACGGGAGGAGAACAGTCAGCCGCCTCCCCCCACCTCTTCACAAAGAGCCCCAGGACTCTTCCCTGCTTGTTCCATAAGGTTGCAGAAGTTCTGCCCACTGCCCGTGGATACATCCCACGACATGCAGAACAACAGGGTGAGGAGAGAAGGCAAGCTTGGGGGACATCATGCATGTGGGAAGAGAATTCGGAGGGGAGTGACAGGCACTGGGTGGGATGGAGTGACATCTCCAGAAAGGGGGAGGAGACTGGAGGGGACAGTCAAGAGTCACTCATTCCAACACTTACTAAGGGCTTGTGCTGGGCTTTGTGCTAAGCATGGCAGGGTGGGGGTGGGGGAGTCACAAGAAGGAAGGGGCCCCAGACAGAGCTGGAAGGGAAGGGGTGAAAGAATCAGAGAAGGGGCAAGAAAGGTTTAAGAAACAGGACACAGAAACCAAGGGAGTTGCTGGGGAAGAGCAGGAAAAAAAAGACTAGTGAGCAGAGGAACTGGAGGGAGTGGGAGGGAGGATGTTCACTCACCCGAACCAAGTAGGAAACCCCGGGTCCCATGACTTTGTCGTTGGGATGCAGCCAGCCCCGCGTGGGCTTATTGACAAAGCTCCCGTGGCGGGTCCACTCCTCGCCCCCCAGCTGGCCCCCTTCCACCCGAGTCCTGCGCCCGCCGCCTCCACTCAGCTTGTTCATGTCCTGGAGGAGGGGCAGGGGGCCTGAGTCCGGCATGGCTGCCCCTACGATCCCCTCCCCATCCTCGGCTGCCCTTCCTGGCTCCCCCTTCGGCCCCAGGCGCCCCCCAGCCGGGTTGGCCAGCTTCAGGTTGCTCATCCGGGGGAAGAAGGAGCACAGGGTAGTGGGACTATCGTCCCCAGGCAGAGGCGGCAGCATGGGCCCCAGAGACGAGGCTGATGGGGAAGGCAGCTCCTCCGGTGGGGTGGACCCTGAAGCTCCCTCCTCCAGCGATGACAGAGACTCATTCCGAAGTGGGTTGTACTTGGGCTTGGGGGGCAGGAGATCCATGGCTGGAGTGAGAGGAAGGCTGCTGCCCAGCCTGGCCCCCCTGCCAGTCAGGGCAAGGGGGCCAGGCAGGGGGCATCCCAGGCCCTTAGCCTGATCGGACCTCTCTGGCCCAGGGATCTCAAGGGTCCTGGGGAGGGAGAGGGACAAGTGGCTCTGGCTCCCCAGGCTCAGACCCAGAGAGTTTCAGGCCCCATCCCCGCCCAGCGTGGAGCCTCTTCTCTAGCTGTGAGGAGAACGGGCTGGACCTAGAGCTGACTGGCTCCTCCCCAGGGGCGGGGAGCTAAGGGGAGAGACCAATCCCGAGGACAGTGCTGACTCACAGGCTCTGAGGGGCTAAGCCTCCAGCACTGCCCCAACCCAGAACTCTTACAGGGCAGAGCGATCCATGCCCGCGCCCCCCCCACCCCGCCCCGGTACAAACAGCAAGTAATCTGGAGAGGAATAAAGTGGGAGTGGGAGGGAAGGATGGAGGAGTGAGAAGGAAAGGAGGGTGGCAAGAGGAGGTCTGCATCAATCCAAACCAGACATGGGCAGGCCAAAGGGAGCAGGAAACTAAGGGAGGGCAGCGGGGGGGGGGGGGGGGGAATGAGGGAGGAAACAGAGGCAGCTGGGGGTGGGAAAGGGAGGGGATTCCTGAGCTCAGCAATTCCCTTCCTGTCCTAGTTGAACACTCAAACTCCCTCCTCCTCCAGCCCCGGCCACCCCCGGCCACCCCCCACCACTATCACACATGGGGTGGCAGCCCCAGGGAGCCTGGGCCATTAGCATCCTCTGCTACCACAGCTGTGGAGGGAGCTAAAGAAATGGGAAAAGGAAGGACGTGGTCCCAGTGGATGCAGGGAGGGGCCAAGAGGAAGGGCAAAGCTGGTGAAGTAAGGGGAATAAAGTCCAACCTGGGTGGTGCATCAGGGAGCCACCAGGCAGGAGCTGGAGCAGAGGACAGGCTGGTGGAGGCTTGTTCTCCATGCATGGCGCCTACCATGCCAAGGAGCAGCGGCCCATGCCAAGCACTCTTCTGTCCCCCTTTCCACAGCGAAGCAAGCTGTCAAGGGTAGAAGGGGTGGGGGCGGCCAGGGCATTGACACTAAGGTCAGCTCCCTGGACCTGCGGGTAAGCTCATACCCCTCCTCTTGCAGTAGTGACTGGGAAGGGTGCAGGTGTCCACCACAGAGCATGATGCCCCTCACGCCAGAGGCAGAGTCTGGCTGGAGGAAATGGGAGAGTGCAACAGTTCTCCAAGAGAAGTGGGGGCTACAGGCCATGAAGGGACAGAGGGGGCAGAAGACAAATCTGCTAAGGAGAAAGGGGTGCCAGGAGAAGGACTGAGGATGGACACAGGGAACAGTCCCAAACCCATTCCTTCCGCCCACAGCTTCCTTCCACAGCTCTGCTCAAGGGGGCCATAAAGGAAGTTGGAAAGTGACCCAAAAAAGTAGTTGTAAAAGATACATATAACCCCCCAGGCTCACCGCAGAATTACCTATCCTTAAATTTACTTCAGGATATAAAAAGATGCAAATTATCATAGGTTATAGCAATGAACAACACTAGCACTTAAAACATGTTAGATACTGTGCTTATCACCTCCCACTTAGTCCTCCAGGGAGAGCTTTGCCACTCCATGCACCACTCCCGAGAAGAAATTCTATCATTGTTTCCTAAAGACTCAGCGCCCAGGCATAGAGAGAATGAGGAAAGTATTCTGCCAAAGCCTCACACCCCCATCACACTCACACACACACACACACACACACACACACACACACCAGGATGTCCTCATCTTTAGAGGTGGGCATTCTATGGGTGCCTGCAGGATCCAGAAGCAGGGAACGACCAACAGGTGTGAGCATTGTTAGAAAATAAGGAGGAAGTAGGGCTTTTAAAATTTATGTAGGAAGAAAGGAGATTGCTACTGGGAATCCGGGTGACTGGAAGAAGCTGCGTGTGGCTTCTCAGCCCAGCAGGGAGGAGGAGGCAAGAGCGGCGGAAAGTAGCAGGAAATGGCGAAAGCTCAGGAATGTTTCCAGAAGGGAAGGCTGGGCAAGCGGGACCAGGAGGAATGCCCAGACTAGAACTCCGGTTAGGGGGAGGGGAAGAGCCAGAGAAGTGGTGGGGCCTGAGGAGTCCCTTAAAAAAAAAAATCAAACAGCAAAAAGGACACTATTACCTACGCCGACTCCAAGCCACCGTTTTCTGGTGGTGGAAAACTTTCTCTCCTGTCACACCCACATGTCACACACCAACAAATCCATGGCCCTACCCAGCTCCCGACGTACAGGTATGAGACAAACAGCTGTTTCTGGGGTGGAGTCGGTCCTGGTAGTGGGGCTGGGAATCTATGAGCGAGTCTCCCTCCCACTCTCGTACCAAACCCCAAGTCCAGCCCCCTTCAAGTAGGTCCACCCTTGGAAGGGGGTAAGGGAGAGGAAAAGGGCTGCCTCTAATCTCTTACTCCTCAGAGCCAGAGATGTGAACTTCTGACTTCCTACCCAGTGGAGCATGAGAGCTCAGGAAAACTGAGCCAAAGTCCCCAAAGAGAAAAAGAGCAAGGAAATGTTAAGCAGGTGAAGTTTCTGGGATTGAAGACAAAGCTTCTGAGGCGATGACCCGGGTCCTACAGGGATAACGCTCCTGAGGGGGCGTGGCCCTCTCAGGACGCAAGCATCAGAGAGACTCCCAGGAGGCAAGGCTTCTGGACACTCAGACGTGGATTAAAGAGGGGGCGGGGCTTCTAGAGGGGAGGAACCCCTAGAGAGGCGTGGCTTCTTGAATTCGAATAGTTCTTTGAGGGGCAGGGTTCTGCCCTTTCGGGAGATAGGCTTTTTGATAGACAGGAGTTGGCGGAGAATCGTCGCTAGGAGGCGGAGTTTCGGGGAATTGGAAGGACTAACGTAGGGTTTCTAGTAGTAGGGCCTGGAAGCATGTCTGGGGGTGGGACTTCCAGGAAAGTCGGGCGACAGAGTGGGGTCGGGGACAATAAATAGAAAACAAGTCGGGGTTCGGGGGGCCCCCTGAAGTTGGGAGGTGGGACTTCCGGGGAGGGGGTCGCAGGGGCGGGGCTTATAAGTGAAGACCGGAAGTAGGGTCCCGGGAGAGGGGTTCCGGGGAGGAGGAGTGGGTCACCTAAGGAGAAAAAAAGTCCCAACTCACCAGGGCTTCATGGAGTCTCCGCACCGCACCGCGGGCCGATTTGGTTCCGGATCACGCCACTGCCTTCTAAGGTCGCCGCTCCAACTTTCTCCCCGGGCCCGGCCTCCCTGGAGAAACTTTATTGCACTCACTTCCGGCCTCACTAACCCCTGACCCTCTACCTCATCGTCCCTCCTTCACCCGTCCCACTTTCCCGTGTCAGCCAATGGCAGCACGAGAACGCGCACAGGAGCCGTGATAGCCAATAAGAGGCCTAGTTTTGACCTACGTTTGTTCTTGAGCAACGTAAGCAGTGCACTCCAATAAGGACTCAAGGAGAAGCAAATCTAAGCCAGTCGGAGGCTTGAAGGTGGGGTTGTCCCGCCTTCCGCCAGAATGACCAATAGAAAGCGCGGGCGGTGTGTTTGAAAGCGAGGCCAAAGAGGGTGGGAGCGCGTGCTGCTGGGAGTTGTTTGGAGGTTGGCGGTGCGGGGCTGACGGTCCTCAGGCAGGGTGATTATGTCGCACAAGCAGATTTACTATTCGGACAAATACGACGACGAGGAGTTCGAGTACCGGTTAGTGCCGGCGCGGGGGCAATAACAAGGTCGTGAGCTTTGAAAAGTGAGGGCACGAGGAGTTAGTAACGCGGACTGAAGCTACAGAATGGCGCATGCGCGGGAGATGAAGGGACTGGGTGCGAGCCATGAGAGCGTAAGGCGCATGCGCGAAGGGTAGGGGGCGATCGTAAAAGAAACCCTAAAGTGGTAGAGAATTTGGAGTAAGCTCTCCTGTTGGGAGGAGGCGTGGGTGGACGTGGTTAGAGTATTAGAGTGCCGACCACCCTCAGCTTTGCGGGTTTCTGGATCATTCTCTCACCTTCATTGAGCAAATTGAATTTGCCTTCTTGAGACTACTTGTATCATGGCAACACCGTAGAGCCTCGTGGGAGAAGGTTGGCAAAGGCGGATCCCGAATTTTCCTCTAGGCTTCAAAGTGAGGGGAGTTCTGAGAGAGCCTGAGTGTTGCTTATTAATTCATGGAAAGGGGGCGTGGTTGCCTGGCTTGTTTTAGGAAGTGGGCTTCGAAGAATTGGAGTGGAATAAAACTGGCCAGGAGCATTGAGAAAAGACTTAATATAGACCTAATAGATTCCCGTCAAATATTTGAAGGGCATCTACTTAGGAAACAGTTATGGAGTGCTTATAGGTTTCAGGTGTTCTACTAAAGTGCAAGGATAAGCCATGGTCTCTGCTTTCAACAAACCTAAAAATCTGTGGAAGTAATGACAGCAGAAAGAAGGTGATAATTGGTATGATAGAACTATGTACAGATTGTGGTGGGAGCACGTACGACTTGCCAAGCATGGTGAAGAAAGGACTCCCTATAGTTTGCATTTGATAAACCCTAAATCCATAATTCTAGATTAGAAAATTAGGGAAGACAAAGAATTCTACAAATATTGGCATTCGACCAATCTATATGAAGCGTAATACTTAAAACAACTGGAAGCTTGCTTTCCTTGTGTTTCTTCAGCCTAGTGCAGGGCTCTGGGCCTTCTGGAGAACTCAGTGTCTGCTGACAAACACACTATTTGTATTTATGCCAAATCCTTGGGAAAGGCCCCCGGCCCTGTTTGGACCCAATTAACTTTCTTTTCCTCAGCTGTTTTCCTCTACATCTGAACTAGGCTAACTAAAATTAAGTGCTTATAATGTCTTTGCAGGGCTAGAAACATCACTAATTTCATCCCCTGGAAGATGTAAGTCTTGGCAGTGATATTTGGTTTAAGAAAAGGGTTTGTTTTTTTGGTCTAAATAGGTATGGAAGCCAATCTTTATGCCAGGGACTTGTTAAGATGTAAGCTATTTTCAGACATTTAGACTAGAATTGACTGTTTGGTGGAAAAAAATCCCTTTTACTTAGCACAGAGAGAGCATTCAGTACATTTTCATTGAAAATGATGAAGTCTGAATCACCCCAATTCATGTCAGAGTAGTAATTTCTTTGCCATGAAAGGAGACTTATCCTTGGTTAGAAAAGCATGGAGTTCCCCCCAAAGAAGTCTCATGGCACATCCCTTCAGAGTTAGGAAAATGAAGTTAGGATAGATCTTAAAGGATAAGATATATTTCACCCTTTGTTCTGACTCTTCCCTGATAGGCCTTTCCTCTCCATGAAATTACTTCTCTCCCTTCCTCCTTACAATTCTGTTCAAAATTGCCTTTACTTATAACAGTGTGTGTGTGTGTGTGTGTGTGTGTGTGTGTGTGTTGTGGGGTTCCCATTATATTATTTTAGGGTCATCAACTAGAAGACTATAAGCTCCGAGAAGGCAGAGTCAATATATCAACAGTGCCTGGAATTTAGGTGCTCATTCACTGGTGTTATTCATTGATGTGTACTTTTTAATATACTTTTGTGAGAATGTACGTATCTTGGCCTTTATTTCTAGCTGCCTCTGCCCCACAATAAGATTATATAAACTCCCTGCCATTACGAACTGGTTTGTCTTTTCTTGCCTCTCTTGGCTTTATATGCAGGCACTCGTCTGACAGACTGTACCCAGTATTGATACAGATTCCCCACCTTCCCATGTTTCTGTTACAGGCATGTGATGTTGCCCAAGGACATAGCCAAGCTGGTCCCTAAAACCCATTTGATGTCTGAATCTGAATGGAGGAATCTTGGCGTTCAGCAGAGTCAGGGATGGGTCCATTATATGATCCATGAACCAGGTCAGTGCAATGGCAGAAAGCAACCATGTAGGACTGAGGAAATGAAGGAATGATAAGGTTGCATAACCCAAAGAAATAGGGGGAAAGTGGGGATGATTTACTAGTTTCTTAACTCACCAGCCATCTAGAAAAACAGGAGTGACCAAAAATAAGAAAGTATCTGGGAAGTTCAGAAACAACCTGTCACTGAAAAAACCTCCTTTAATCTCTAATTTGGTCAGAGGATTTTTTTTTTTTTTAAGGCTACATATACACTGGTAGAGGTTATGGCCCCTGCTTCATTCTCCATCAGAAAGTGAATTTTGGGATGTGTTCCAAATAAACCAAGGAAAGTATATTTCTTGATAAGACACCAGACACCAAACTGCCAGACAAAACTAATAAAGGACGCCCTGGGGCTGCACAAACATAGCAAGAGAACTGATACTGACAATTCTGTACTTGGCACACAGGCCAGGCTTCGGGGTCTGCTTCTAAGGCCATATGCTTAAATCTTAATTTAGTTGTAAAGATCTGAGTGGGTGATACCTGGGAAGTGGGAGTGGGAGATACTATAGGTTGTGCATAGGATGATGTGAGCTTGTCTCTTAGATTTCACTCACTCTTTCAGAACCTCACATCTTGCTGTTCCGGCGGCCACTGCCCAAGAAGCCAAAGAAATGAAGCTGGGGAGCCACTTTTCAGCCTCATGCTTTATACAGCTGTCCTCATTTGCTAACATCTTTCTGATGACATTATTATGTTGCCTTCCTGTTTCTCACTTTGATATTTAAAGGATGTTCAGTACACTGTTTGAACGTGTTGGAGACTGCTTTGCTTCTTGAGCAGAACCAACAGGACCATGGCCCAGCCGGACAACTGCTCTTTGGGTTGCAGCCTCAGCTAAGTGTGACCCCCAAAACCAATGTGAGCTCTGTATCCAGCAGAACACACTTGGCAGATGGAGGAAGCATCTAAGAATAAGACCGTGGCTGTTACAGGGATTGTGTAAACTTCCTGTTTTTTTTTTTCTGCCAGGTGTTGTATGTATGGTGATTTATGTTTCAATGTGTTGGAAACTTTCCATTTTATTCAAGAAATCTGTTCCATGTTAAAAAGCCTTGATTAAAGAGGAAGTTTTTATAATCTAATTCTCTCATTGTAAAGGTTTTTCCCCCTCTCAGGGCAAGCATCACATTCACTATCATGGTTCTAATTATATGCCCTTCAGTGAGATAATGAAGTTCAGCTCTTTGTTAATAATGAGGTTTATTTCAACATTCAGGTAACTGGTTTTTAATCTACTTTAAGCAGACTTTGCTGTCAAACATCTACTGAAATATATTTCACTCTAACTACAGGCCTAAGAAAGAGGTTATATGGGGACAACTTCATCTCATCAAAACAAATGAATTCTTTTCTACAGTCAGGGATGCTGCCATTAACGTAGTCCTGATTTTTGAAGGGTACACAAGGGTAAAGGGAGGAGGCTGTCAACCAGAGGCTGCTAGTGCATTCCACTTCCTGACCAGCCTAAGGCTCAGGCACACCTCTGGCCTGTTCACTCCGCACAATGGTTTGGGGGTGTTTTCAGTGGTTCTCACTTTGGCTGAACATTGGAATCACCTGGGTAGCTTTAAAAGTGCTGATGGCTAAGTCTTTCCCAGGGAAGTTGACTTAATTGGTCTGGGTTGTGGCCTGGATGAGGGAATATCAAGCATTCTTACACAGGTAGTTACAGCACTAACCTTTGAGAAAACAGTTGTAAACTGTGGCTATTTGAGAAAACATTTCGCCAAATAATAGCTTACCCTCTACTTTGAACAGAAGTGCTAAGTAAGGGAGATTAATCTTCCCACTTCTCTGTCTTCCATTCATTTTTTCCTTAGAGCAGTAGTAGTTCAAGTGTGGTCCCTGGACCAGAAGCATCAACATCACCTGGAAACTCCTTAGAAGTGTCCATTCTTGGGCTCCACCCTAGACCTACCGAATCAAACTCTGAGGGTAGAACCTAGTGACATTTTAACAAGCTCTCTAGGTGATTCTGGTGCATACTTAAGCTTGAGAACCCACTGTAAAGGATCAGACCAGAGCTGATGTTTTGGGGAGGGGGCGGGGCTTGTCAAATATCACCATTACTAAGAAAGATGATGTAGCATATATGGCTTATGTCATTAGGAAAGCCTGACTTTGTTTTTTTAGAGCTGAGACTCTCTTAATTGGAAAAAACACGGGGCTTATTATTTGAGAAAGAAGGGTCTAGAAGCCTGGCTCTACCATTCACTGTAGTGTTTTGTGGTTGTTGTATGGCATCCCTTCACCTTTTTGAGCCTGTTGCCCATCTGTAAAAGGGGCATCATATCTATCTTAGAGGGGTTTTAGCAGAGTAAAATGAGGCCAGGTGTGGTTCAGCAGTCCTCTAAATGAATGAATTTTAGAGCTTTACTACAGAAAACAGTGGCATCAGCATGACAGGAGTGTGGTGCTCCAAGGACAATTATGCTTAAAGGACAAAGAACGACCCTGCCTGAAAAAGTTGCAGCGTTACACCCCCTACCGGACTCTTAATCGCCCTCCCCACCATGTTGAGATGGTTACGAAATTCCTGAGCCCACCTGGGCAAACACCCACCTGGGCAATGGGACCTGTCCCAAATAAGGAAAGGCATCTGGGCTGTCCCACTCTCACCAGATAGAAGGAAGGTGTATGTGCCTCAGCCAATCAGTAAACGAAATTTTCACCCCGACCATTCTTTTGTTTTCTGGCTATAAAAACTGATCAATAGCACATGTTCGGGCTTGACTGCCAGACTGCTAGGAAGTTGGCCCACTGTTCTGGCAGCGACCCTTCCCTCTAAAATAAATTCTATCTTCTTTACATTGTGCCTCGTGTCTGGAAATTCTATTCCAACCCGCGTTCAGACCACAACATTTGGTGGCCTGTACGGGGATCTCCAGGGGCATCTCTTTCCCCACCTCCTCTCCTCATTCCTTGGGACCCTCTGTGAACAGGCAAGTTGCTGTGGAAGCGACGGAGGAACTCTGGCCAGGGCCACAGCCTGTGTGTTCCGAAGGCTCCACGGTTCACTTTGCCCCAGTAACTGCCTCCCAGAGCAGGTGAGGATCCCTCTGTCTTCCTTCCGACTGAGGACTAGGCCAAAGGGTATCGTGCGGGCACGGGTAAGGCATTTAAAAGCCATTAGGGTGCCTGCTGCTTGAAGACTCCCGTGAAAGGATAAGGGGGTCACGGAACGGACCAGGCTATTAGAGCGTCTGCCCCCAGCAAGACAACTTCCGTGCAACGCGAGGCACATTGTGGACAAAGCAAAACACACAGCCCCCAGTCCCTTGGCCACCGCCTCCTCGGTAGGGATAGAAGGTGGAATCCTCAGTCCTCTTTTCTGTCGCTTCTGCTTCTTTCTCCTCAGCTCGGACTGACTCCAAAGGACCTCACCGCCTCTAGGTCGTCCCGGGAGCTCCTTCCCATCCCTGAGAGTCTAATAACGGTGAGTCAATTCCCGGCTGGCTTCCGGGGATTCCCCTCTCTGGTCACTGATGCTCTGGCCACCTCAGTCGGACGCGACAGCTGAGACAGTCAGCATTTTTGTGCCTAAGTCGCACGGAGACGTCACTGAGACAAAGAGGGCACATATGCCTGTCAGTGATTTTTTTTTTTTGTGCCTGTCAGTGATTTTTGCCTTTTTGCCTGTCAGTGATTCTCAGTACCCCCATTCTATGGCATTGGGGCTAAGAATGGGTTCAGGTACATCTGTCCCCTTAGACTCACCTCTTGTTTATATTCTCAGGAATTGTAAGGAATTTGACCCAGACAGTCTCAAAAAGAAGAGGCTCATTTTCTTTTGTAACACGGCTTGGCCCCAATACAAACTGAGGGACCAAGAACAATGGCCTCTTAATGGGACGCTAAATTACAACATGATCCTCCAACTTGATCTCTATTGTTGGAAACTAGCAAAGGATTCCGAGGTTCCATATGTCCAGGCCTTCATGGCCCTCAGTCAGAATCTGAGCCTGAGGGACTCCTGTCACATGTGTCTCTCCTTTGCCGCTTTAATGCCTCGTCCTCCCCACCCTCCTCCTTCAGCTTCACTACCTCGTCCCTCCCCCTCTCCCCCTCCACCAGATATCTTGGATGACCCTTCTTGTCCCCGATCTCCCCAGCCTCCTCCTCAACCTTCTGCTCCCCAACCCCCACCCCTGTACCCAGAAGCAGACCTTCCACCCCCGCCCCACACTCGGTCACCAGTAGCCCAATGCTCTGAATCGAGTCCCGATATGCTTCCCCTACGAGAGGTCGCTAACGGAGACCTAGGTACTATCAGAGTTCATGTCCCCTTCCCCATGTCTGATCTCTCTCATATTCAAGGGAAACTGGGCTCCTTTAGCCAGGACCCCTCCATGTTCATAAGGGAATTCCAGGCCCTAACTATAGCCTTTGACTTAACTTGGCCAGATATCCACGTGGTCCTAACTACCTGCTGCATCACGAGGAAAATGCCAGGATCTGGGCTGTGGCTCAGGCCTGGGCAGATGAGGCACACGCCCGAAATCCTAATGAGAACCGAGCAGGGGCAGAGGCAGTCCCACGGGCAGACGCAAGATGGAGATACCAGGAAAATAAAAATGGGCCAGCAGGAGGGCTCACTAGGAGACATTACGTGATTACCTGTCTACTAGAAGGTATGAAAAAGGCAATCATCAAACCTGTCAATTATAATAAACTCAGAGAAGTCACACATGAACGGTCTGAGAATCTGGCCCTTTTTCAGGCCCAATTAGTAGAGGCTATGAGGAAATACACCAGCCTAGATCCTGAGACCCCTGAAGGTCAGGCTGTACTTGCAGTTCACTTTGTAAGCCAGGCATCCCCAAGCATAAGACAGAAATTACAGAAACTAGAGCAAGGGCCACAAACCCCATTTTCTGTCCTACTTGACACGGCCTTGAAGGTTTTTAACAATAGGGAGGAGGCTTCTAGGAACAGACGAGAACTAAGAGAGGAGGAAAAATTAAAACGACATGCTCACTATATGGCTCTTGCCATTACTCAGTCCCTCCCACAACAGGGACCCACGGGAGCCCCTCTCCCATCTCAGAAACCACCGCGGATCTGCTACCAATGCAGTCAGCAGGGGCACACTGTCAGGAACTGCCACACCCCACCACCCGATATCCCATGCCCTTATCATCAAAAGGGCCAACTGGAAGAGGAGTTGTCCCTGCCGCCCTCAAGCGGGTAGGCCAATTCCACAACCACCCAACACTCGGGGTTTTTCGGTCCCAGCCCCCGTGGGCCGAGGTCAAAACCAATTACCCCTGTCAGTGGTAATTGACTACCAGGAGCAAGAACCGGATTGCACTGTAGATCTGGGGCTCCTGGATGTGGATGACTGAAGGTGCCCGAGGCTCAACCTACAGGACCCTATGTTCCCCATAAGACTGGAGGAGCCCCAGGTAACCCTGGATGTGGCAGGGGCTAATATAACCTTTCTAAGTGACACAGGGGCTTCTTATTCAGCCCTGACTTCCTTCTCTGGTCCCACTCGCCATTGTCCCACTCGCCGTTGTCCCACTCGTTCCTCGTCGTTCCTCGATCCTCCTAACAGGGATGGGAACAGGCTCAGCAGGACTCTTAAACTCTATTTTCCCTGCCCAACAGCTCTCTCTTGAACTCACACAACAGATTGCCAACCTAGCAGCTCAAATTAACATGCTACAAGAACAAATAAATTCTCTAACAGGAGTGGTTTTACAAAATAGAAGAGCTCAGGACCTCCTACCGGCTTATCAGGGAGGGACTTGTGCAGTGTTAAAGGAGGATTGCTGTCTTTTGGTTAATCAATGAGGCAAGGTCCAGACCCATTTTCGGGCCGTGTATTTTTAACCTCCTTGTTAAGTTTGTCTCTTCCAGAATACAAATGGTGATGCAACAAAAACACCGGCCAGACAACACTCGTACAACCCCTTGAACAAGCCGCCATCACTTTACATGGGGCCCACACTCCTCCCTAGATACACCCTGACAGAGAGCAGGCAACGGGAACCCAGGGCCCCATGATGCCCCTGCTCAGCAGGAAGCAGCCAGAGAGTTTGTCACACCTTCTCACAAAGGGGTTCCAGAATGCCTGAGA